ATTATTGTTCTTTCCAGCATGAATGATAATTTCATCGCATACTGTTATTATTATTGCAATTGCTATTAATTGCACATTATGGACACGAATTGTATAGAAGTTGACCAATATTATAATGAAGTAATTGTTGAATTGAATAGTAAATCTTGAACTGAGCGTCTATCCTCTCAATATCCTGATTGCAAAGCATCAGTCAGCTTCAGTTGAAATCATAATACTCACCTCGACATTGTGGTAAACTCTCGAATTGATCGACCATCTGCCAAAAGCGATTCATCTGCTCAACGCTACGAATATCGAGCGGCTTATTCACTAGTACGGTAACTGGATGATATTCAGCCCATACTTAAATATTCCTTTTTATTGTAACATCAATGATCAGTCCAATATCCACTTAACTATAATATCTTCTTCATTCTACTCATGCATGATTTGTAATTTATTCACTATCTTCAAATATTTCTAATTGTAAGTGATTACTCGAAAGTGTTGAGTGCAGTAGAGCAGGAGTGATGTTGCATCAACCTTATTAAGAGTTGCTTCTTTAGGTATCATTTCAATGTCATAGTAAATTATGCATAACGCATACACAACATTATAAAAAATCAAATAAAGATATTACTTATATCACTGAGAATTCGGTTCGGCGCTTGAATTGGTGAGTTTTTAGGTAGTATTTTGACGGTGTCAAGTCGTGTTTTGATCGTTAACGCACCAAGAATAGCAAAATACCAGTAGGTTATAAGTGCACCGGTTAGAACGATTGTGAAGAGACGATGACCAATCAAACGACAATAGTAAATGAGTACACATCGCATGAAACTATCAACCTGAAATAATTCAATTCAATCGTATAAAATCGTTTGATTTGCAATTATTTATCATCCAGCGGTATGATATCAACGCAAGAGCGATAAATTAATAATAGAAGAGTGCTGACACCTCAAGTTTCATCAGGATTCTTAGTGATTCATAAATGAGGACCGTAGCAGAGGAGCAATGAAAAGAACACCCCTTGGGACGATATTTTTGTCAGAATTGCGAAGAATGTGGGCATTGAATAAGTCGGTGTGGAATTAACAGAAATTGCTACCAATAAAGGGAATTGCTCATGTCTTCCCCTTCAGACCGAACAGAA